CACCGAGCCCGAGATCTATGGGGGCAAGGCCATCAGTACACTTGGTCCAATTACACGTTGTCAAAGAATTGCTCCATCTTCTTCAGGCAGAAGACAAGGGCCAGGACGTTCAAGACTCGGATTCAAAGGATGAACAAGTCATGTCAATATCCAAATTGGCCACCACAGGCTAGACAACTTCCCGTACAGTGCCCTTACTACGACTGATTGGCGATCAAGAGGTGTTGATGTTGCTGGACACAACGTCTCTTGCGTATCTATTTTGTTTTCTGCTACACTTCTCAACAGAAGGCAAGCAGATCCGGCACCTCCTGCAGCTGGATTCGCCATCAACGATGCATTGGCCGAGTTCGAGGTCGCCTAAGCAGAGGAGGCGACAGAGCAACATGCGGTCCTCGAGTTTACCCAGTCAGAGGTCGAGGTCATGCAAACCGCCACTACCTCCGTGAGGCGAATGTGGATGATCTTGAGGAACTCTTCGTGGACGTGTAGTCCGACGAGGAGCCGGAGTTGCGGGCCACGGCCAACGACTAGGACGTCGGTATGTCCAACACCTCTGGTACGAAAGTCTCCAACATCTCCGACGATGAGTAGTACTAGGGTAGTTTGATCTATGTATTATGTAATATACGTAGCTTAATTTTACGTTGCATAGTGTAGTATGAAAAGAAGGTTGATATTTATGATTGCAACGGCGAAGAAATGAGGTGTACCTGAGCCTTGTTCGCGGACATACAAGGGGTCAATTTTGAGTATGTGGTAGTAGATGCTCTAAGGCCAACTCCACCGCGCGACCATATCCTGTCCAGCTCCGTCCGTTTGGGGTAAAAGAGACAAACCATACGGCCCAACGCGCGGGAGCAAACAGACTTTTGTTCGTTTTCTATCCGCTTTCGATCCATCCCCGACCCAAGTTTGCATTGATTTTGGGGTGAAACGGACAACGCGCGGACGGGAGCGCGCTTGTCCTCCCCTGGCCAGCCTGTCGATAGCACAAAGCAACCCCCCCTCCCCCCGCGCGCCCCGCGCCCCATTTGGCGCCATTTCCCCCAAACCCTCTCACGTCCCTCCCGCCGCCCCCTCCCTCCCCCATCCATGGCCAACGCCCAGCCGAATTCCGGCGGCCTGGCCGTCGACCCGCCCAAAAAGGTGAAGAAGAAGAAGGCGGCCAACGCGCTAAGGAAGCCGCGGTCAGAGTGCACGTCGGA